AAAGAAAGAAAGAAAGAAAGAAAGAAAGAAAGAAAGAAAGAAAGAAAGAAAGAAAAGCTACAAACAACAACAAAACTAAAAGTTCTGATGTTAAACAGCTCTAGATGATGGATTGACTGAGTTTATATTTGTATATATCAAAAGCCTTTTTTTTTTTAAACAGTGTAGGTATTTTTAAGGTGTTTGTTTAGAATGGGCTGTAAATAATTAATGATACATTTCTATGGCTTCACTTGAAAACTATGGGCTCTTAATCATGGCTTCGTTAACATGTTATCCTCCAGTCCTTGAGTTGAGAGAAACATATGTCGGCCTAACTTGTGCTTCTCTGATAGCCCAGCCCTATTCAGCCTTGGTATCCAGGGCAGCAAGTGGTGCTGTCCATACAGTTTTAATGTGGGGCAAGTTAAGGAAATTGATCGGTGGGTACTCCTGGCTTCCAGAAGAACAACAAACCAACCACCAAATGCTATTCTTAACATGTGGCAGAGTAAGGTTGGGCAAGCATAGGGAGATGTCTGTGATGGAGGGTTTAACTATCTTTCAAATTGTCCAGCTTATTTAACTGAAAGGTTACAGGCACTGCTTTATTTATTTATTAAATCAATTTGTATAGCCGCCCATCTCACCACAGGCAACTCTGGGTGGCGTACAACAAAGCTAAAAACAGTCAAATACATTAAAAATATATAAAACAGAATAAAACAGAGAATAAAAAGAAGTTAAAAATAAGGGAGCTGCCTCACTAATTCCCCTGTTCCCTGGAGTCCCCTGGCCTGCTGGCATAACCAAGTCTTCAGGGACCTCCAGAAGCTCGACAATGACGAGGCCAACCTCACCTGGGGGGGAGAAGATTCCACAGTGCAGGTGCCACAGCAGAAAAGGCCCGCTGCCAGGGGCCTGCCAAATGTATCTCCCTGGGCGACGGAACCTGTAACAAGCCCTCTCTGCTGGATCTGGTAGGATGGGCAGATTGAAATTGGGGAATGAGGTCCCTCAGATAGCCTGGCCCCACGCCATGAAGGGCTTTAAAGGTCAACACCAGCACCTTGAATTGGACCCGGAAACAACTGGTAACCAATGCGGCTCACAAATCAGAGGTGTAACGTGTATTCTACTAGAAACACACATAACTTCTTGTGCTGCTGTATTTTGCACCAGCTGAAGTTTCCGGATACTCTTCAGGGGCAGTCCCATGTAGAGCGCATTGCAGTAATCTAACCGGGAGGTGACCAGGGCGTGAGTGACCGTGAGTAGGTTCCTCTGATCTAGGAATGGGCGCAACTGACACACAATATGACATTATGCAAAAGTTCTGCTCTTCAAGCAGGAGTCGTGAGTCCAGCAGCACCCCCAGACCACACCCAGGGTCTGTTGGGGGCACTGCAACCCCATCCAGTAGCAAAGATGCTAAAATCCTAGAACCAGAGGGGCTCAAAACCCAAAGCCACTCAGTCTTGCCAGGGTTCAGTTGAAGCCTGTTGTTCCCCATCCAGATCCTCACAGCCTCCAGAAACCAAGGTAGGACGCCCACAGCATCACTTAAGTCGCCAGGGGAGGAGATGTACAATTATCATCAGCATACTGATACCTCGCCCCATGGTGATGGATGAGCTCACCCAGTAGTTTCATGTAGATGTTAAATAGGAAAGATGAAAGCACCGACCCCTGCGGCATCCCACACAGCAGAGGGCGGGGGTGGGATCTCTCTTCCCCAGTCACCACCAACTGGAACTGACCCTGGAGAAAGGAGGTGAACCAACACAATACCATGCCACCCACCCCCAATTCTCTGAGTCGGTCCAGAAGGAGACCATGGTTGATGGTATTGAAAGCCACCGAGAGGTCAAGTAAGGCAAGGATGGATGCACGACCACCATCCTGCCCACGCCAGAGTTCATCTGAAAGCATGACCAATGCTGTTTCTGTACCATACCTAGGTCTGAAAAGGATCCAGATAATCCGCTTCATCCAAGGTCCTCTGAAGCTGCTGTGCAACCACCTTCTCAATCACCTTCCCCCAAAAGGAGAGGTTGGATAATGGACAAAATTTGTCCAGTATTGTGGGGTCCAAACCAAATCCTCCTTTAGAGGTGCAGAACCCCCTCACTCAAAGAATTCACCATCGCCAGAACCCACCCAGAGGACACCCCCCGGGCTGCTTTCACAAGCCAGGAGGGGCATGGATCTAAAGAGCAGCTGGCTGAGCTCACAGTCCTAAGGACCCTGTTCACT